CGGCCCCTCCGCCTTCCCGGCTCCTCACGTGGGGCCCGCTGAGGGGCTTCGCGCAGACGGTCGAATTGCACCTCTCGCTCAGTCTGGTCCTTTCTTCATGTTCCTCTCAGGTTGCCTTTTTGTCAAGAGCTGCAACTCAGGCCTAACTGTGGCCGAAGGCTTCGTCCTGAGCCAAGAGGAGCAGGAGTGGGAAGGAGGCCCGGAAGAGAATTTAAGCCTGGGAGGTAAGGAAGGAGGTAATGCTACGGGTCGGGTCCTGGATTCCCCAGTGGCCTGGCCAGTGGGCTGCCCACCAGGCTGCCCACCATCGCAGGCAGAGGAAAACGAAGCAGATCCCAGCTTTCCAACCACAATTCTCCAAGAAGAATGGATAAAACAGAGCTCAGTAAAGCTAGAAGCAAAGAAAGACCACACACTGAAGATGGGAGCAGGGGGTAGAGGAAAAGAATGGATAATCAGAATTAAGAAAGGAATAGAGCTATTTCATAAACAGGGTAAGGCAGGCAAAGAGAGCAGAACCACCGAGGTGTATCAGTTTGAAGAGCAGGATTGGCAACAGGACACTGGGGAGGTATTAATGGAAAGGCCCAAGGCAAGGTGAGTTGTACCATTATGCTCCTCAGAAAATCGTTCATAGATTAGGCTCTTTTTTTTTTTTTTTTAACAGTGACTGGTCTTTCAGGTGCAGGAGTGATTGATGGAGGCAGTCTCAACACATCCTGAGGGAAAGGGAGGCCTGTTTAATCCCTGTCAGCTGCTTTTTAGGAGTATCTGTGAGGAGCATCCAATTTAGGTCATCTCATTGTTTCAATGAAGGCTTCTTCTGAGAAGGCAGGCTCCTTCCACTCATCATCTTTTTTACAACAGATCTTAACCTTGTCTGTATGTATATGTAGGGTCTTCATAGAGCTTCTTCGCAAGGCCTTCAGATAGCCTGTTTCCCCCACTTTTCCCTCACTCACAGGAACAGAAGGGCATTGATGGAAATCCCTGAAACGTCTCCTCTTTGGGATGGAGCAGAAACAGCAGCTGGGCCTCCAGCTCAGGTAGGAGGTGCTTCAAGAGAGCAGGGGACAGTTTGGGGGCTCAAAATCTTGTTATAGGAATCAGTGCGCGGCCACTTAGCAGTATGGAGGGTTCAAATTTACTCTGCTTGCTCTACTTTTTAGACTGTTGTGGAGATACAAAGAGGAGAGGCAAAACCCTATAGGCTAATCAGAGAGGCCTATAATGGGAAATATAATTGATTTCTGGAAAGAGTTGAGTTCTTTTCCCGTGTCTGTGGTAGTTCATAGTAACAAATATATCTGCAACATGTGTGAAAGTAGCAAATTCTTCTGCTTATACAGGAATGCAAAACAAATTGAAAAATAAAACCAGACGATTGAAGCAATATGGGTATTATACCAACTGCTACAGACATACACAGGCACATTTGATTTAAATTAATTATGTGAAGCACAGATTTCCCATGTTAAAAAAAACCCATATAGTCACGGGCTAAATGGCTGCTACAATAATTGTTGCAAGAGTATGAAAGAGAAATGAAAGTAGTGAGAATGTTAGGATTTCCAAAGCCATCTCCAGTGCTGAATTCTTGTAGGAAGCAAATTCCTACAAGAAGCATATATATGCAGTTTGTGTAAGACTCATGTAATTTACTCAACCCGGGCAGGTGGGGGAAGGGAATATTCACCCCCCCACACACACACATGATTTCTGCTGCGTCGTTGTAGGAAGCTCTCCAAATGGAGCTCTGCTTTCTCTATTCTCCAACCTGGAGGCAGCTAAGCTACATTTTGTACACTCAGAGCACTGGCATCACCACTGTGGAACCCTCCACCGCAGTGACTAGCTGGGCATCCAGAGACAAAGCTGAATGGAGCTATCTTACAATAAAAGGTGCATTCACTCTGTTGCAAAGTTCTGCTTTTCTGATTTGTGAAAGAAGGGGAGGAACTTAGAAGGACTGTCTGCTAAGGATTATTTTCTTTCCCTTTCAGCTCTCCGTGTCCTTTGAGGAGGTGGCTGTGTATTTCACAGAGGAGGAGTGGGCACTGCTGGATTCTAGCCAAAAAGCTTTGTACAGGGAGGTCATGCTGGAGATTTCTAGGAGTGTGTCTACTCTCAGTAAGGCCCCTCTTTGCCCTAGATTCAATACTTAGGCAGGGTGTTTTGTTTTCAGAGGTTATTAGGGAATATCTGGATAAAGGAAAGGAATATTACCTTGAGCGTTAAGAAAGGGAAGAGATGAGCAGGTCCCTCCTTAGATGTGTGATGGGATCCTTTTCCATCTGGGAAGTGAGGATGGTCCTAAGTGAGTCTTCTACATTCTCTCTAATCTCATCAAGACCAAGTTAGTCAATGGCTTGAGGAGTTTGTGACTCTGGCCTGTCTAGCAGCTTAATTTACAAATGTGTATCTTACATCTGACCCTGACCAGGGGCATGAATTCATGGAAAGGTAATTTCTTGAATACATAGCAAGCCAAATGTGAAATAGGGATCACATAAAAATGGTAAGGGTTTAAATTGCACCATGTACTCAGATAATTTCAGATAATTTGGAATTCTTGTACGTTTGATAATATTTCCAAACCTCATATATTGAGAGACCACTGCAAACTTAAATGTACATTTTGAAATGTTGCTTTTCATTGTGTTTATTGAAATAGATCAGGGCATCATTTTGCCTGAAAGCTTAAATTCAGGCAGTTGTTGATTCCAATATTTCCCAGGCCTGCCAGACTCTTTCCCTTTATTGACCCCTCCTTGCCCTCCCCCCCCACTTCTTTCCTCTGTCCTTGAACAAAGAACAGGGGACCTAGAACAGGCATATCCCCAGTTTCTACCCTCAGAATGCTTTCATAAGTCTGCTTACAACAGATATGCTAATAACCATTTCAACAATTGTATCAATTCATGTATTGAAGGGTAACTCTACAATACTGTTACCCAATTCTTTTCCTTTCTCTTATCTCCTTTAGTTTTCTTTTAACCTTCCCTTTTCTTACACTCCACCTACAAATAATATAACTTATATATTGGGTGTATATAACAAAGAAGTTAGTAAGTTCAACCATGCAACTTTGCAAGATCTACTAATAGTTAAATTGATAGTTCCAATCATTTTCCAACCTGTCCTCTTTTATCCTTCATTATATTGTCTTATTTAGATTTCATTATCGCTAGACATGATCTTTGTTGAACAGGGGCTGTTCTTTGAAGGCTGGCTTTGTTTAGTTAATTTTTAAACAGGCTCTAATTCACATTTTTGAACACTAAGTTCCACATTCCACTCACAGGTTGTTTCTGAAAGCCTGGCTAGAATATTACTATTATATAGCTTAAAAGGGTTGCTCATTTCTTTCATGTAAAGGCTGAGAAACATTCCCCCCTCCCTTCCTGCCATAGATGCCAACAAAGTTTGATCTTAAAAGCAAGGAGCTCCTTTAAAGGCAAGAAGCATCAGAAGGATTTTTTTCAACAGTAATTACTGTAGGTCTATTAATTTTGATCAAAGTATACAAAGACAGAACAGGGAAAATCTTAACAATTATGAACTAACAGGTCCAGCTAGTGGATCTGTTGCCTAATGGCTGTCTCAGTTTCTGCATAAAATTTATAACAGGAATTTCTTTTCTCTCGAAGCAGGTAATGGTCAGGAGAACGAGCATGACAAGGAGCCGAGGGCAGTGGCGTTGCAAGCAACCAAACATGAGGTGGAAGAACTGATGATTGAAAATCAAGAGGAAGAAAGAAAGCAAGACAGAATCTATTCAAAGAATGGAGGGGAGAAATCTCCTCCTCTCTGTGTTGAATTCCATGACTTCCTGATCCAGGCAGATCTGAAAAGAAACAGAAAGGGGAGACATCCAGGATATGGCAAAAGAGATGAAAATAAGTTTGATGAATATTGCAAAACCCAGATGAAATGGAAACAATATAAATACAGACAGCATGAGGAAAGTATCAATCTTTCCTTCCCTCTTAATTTACATGGAAAACTCTATAGGAAAAATAATTCACATATATTTCTAAAATCTGGGAAGAATTTCAGTCTGAGCAGTCATCATACTTCCACTGAAGGATTTCACACAGAGAAGAAACCATATAAATGCTCTGAGTGTGGGAAGAGCTTTAGTAACAACAGTGCTCTTACTTTCCATCAAAGGACCCACATGGGTGAAAAACCATATAAGTGTGTGGAGTGTGGTAAGACCTTCCATAGAAACAGTATTCTTACTCGTCATAAAAGGACCCATACAGGTGAGAAACCATATAAATGCTCTGAGTGTGGAAAAAGCTTCAGTATGAACAGTGATCTTACAATACATAAGAGAATCCACACAGGCGAGAAACCATATAAATGCTCTGAGTGTGGAAAGAGCTTCAGTATCAGCAATGCCCTCATTTTTCATCAAAGGACCCACACAGGGGAGAAACCATATGAATGCATAGAGTGTGGAAAGAGCTTCCATAGAAACAGTATTCTTACTCGCCATCAAAGGACCCATACAGGTGAAAAACGCTATAAATGCATGGAATGTGGAAAGAGCTTCAGATTAAACAGCGATCTTACAGTACATAAAAGAGTCCACACAGGTGAGAAACCATATAAATGCACAGAGTGTGGAAAGAGCTTTAGTAAAAGTGCTCACCTTACTTGCCATCAAAGGATCCACACAGGTGAAAAACCATATAAATGCACAGAGTGTGGAAAGAGCTTTAGTCAGAATGGTGCTCTTATTTCCCATCACAGGATTCATACAGGAGAGAAACCATATAAATGCCTGGAGTGTGGAAAGAGCTTTTGTCAGAGTGGTGCCCTAACTTCCCACCAAAGGACCCACACCAGAGAGAAATCACTTGAAGATATGGATTGTAGAAAGAGCTTCAGTACAAACCTTCAGCTTACTTGCCAGCAAAGGATCCACACAGGAGAGAAACCATATAAATGTTTGGAGGGTGGAAAGAATTTATATCAGAACAGTACCCTTATATCTTACCAAATGTTCCACACTGTAGAGAAACCATATAAATGTATGGAGTGTGGAAAAAACTTTAGTCTACACAGTATTTTTATAAAACATAAAAGAATCCACACAGGGGAGAAACCATATAAATGTGTGGAGTGTGGAAAGAGGTTCCGTGAGAGCAGTAGCCTCATGACACATGAAAGAATCCACACAGGAGAGAAACCATATAAATGTACAGAGTGTGGAAAGAGCTTCAGTAGAAACACTATTCTTACTCGCCATCAAAGGATCCACACAGGAGAGAAGCCATATAAATGCATGATGTGTGGAAAAAGCTTCAGTTTTAACAGTGATTTTACAGTACATAAAAGAATCCATACAGGTGAGAAACCATTTGCATGCATGGAGTGTGGAAAAAGCTTTAATACAAGCCCTCAGCTTAATTGCCATCGAAGGATTCACACAGGAGAAAAACCGTATAAATGCTTGGAGTGTGGAAAGAGCTTTCGTCAAAACAGCGCCCTAACTTTCCATCAGAGGATCCACACTGGAGAGAAACCATATGAATGTACGGAGTGTGGGAAAAGCTTTCGTCAGAACAGTGCTCTTACATCTCATCAAAGGATCCACACTGGAGAGAAAATATATAAATGCATGGAGTGTGGAAAGAGCTTCAGTCTCAACAATACTTTTATAAAACATAAAAGAATACATACAGGGGAAAAACCATATAAATGTCTGGAGTGTGGAAAGAGGTTCCGTGAGAGCAGTAGCCTTATGACACATAAAAGAACCCATACCGGAGAGAAACCATATCAATGCACTGAGTGTGGAAAGAGCTTCAGTAGAAACAGTAACCTTACTTGCCATCAAAAGATTCATACGGGGGAGAAACCATATAAATGTATGGAGTGTGGAAAGAGTTTCATTTTGAACCATGATTTTACCATCCATAAAAGAATCCACACAGGTGAGAAACCATATAAGTGTATGGAATGTGGAAAGAGCTTCAGTAGCAGCAGCGCCATTACTTATCATCGAAGGATCCACACAGGGGAGAAACCATACGGATGCACGGAGTGTGGGAAGAGCTTCAGTAGCAGCAGTGCACTTACCTACCATCAAAGAATCCACACAGGGGAGAAACCATACGAATGTATTGAGTGTGGAAAGAGCTTCAGTAGTAGCAGTGCCATTACCTACCATCGAAGGATACACACCGGAGAGAAACCATATGAATGCAGGCAGTGTGGAAAGAGTTTCAGTAGCAGCAGCGCCCTTACGAACCATCGAAGGATCCACACAGGGGAGAAACCATATGAATGCCTGGAGTGTGGAAAAAGCTTCAGTAGCAACAGTGCCCTTACAAACCATCTAAGAATCCACACAGGGGAGAAACCATATAAATGCAAAGAGTGTGGGGAAAGCTTTAGATGGAGCAGTGACCTTACTTCTCATCAAAGGATTCACACGGAGGCAAAACTATATTGTCAAGCTGTTGGCAGCTCAATTCAACAAGAAGCAAGATCTTCCCTAGGTTTTTTCAAACAAGATTTATTGAAGAGAATATGATAAAGTTACAGAAGTATAAACAATTGGATCCTGTCACTTTTGGAACCTTATTATCCCTTAGTCTGTTACAACAGAGTCTTTCTCACACTCACTGTGGACTGGTGAGAAAGTTGTTCTCTTGATTGATAAAAGAGGAATGTCCAGGTGGCCAGGCTAGGAATCTCTCTTGGGTGTGAACATAGCAGTATATGGCCTCCCCCATTAAGTTGGCCTCCTGTCACAATCTCAGTATCTGGAGAGCCCATCATCCTGGGCAACAGTTCTGGTGAAAGCAAAAGAGTAGCCCTTGACTATGAAGAGGAAACATATTTTTACATTTGCTATGATGTGATGTCACCCAAAATCCCAAAATAAAAGGTGCATAGTTTTAAAAATGCAAAATAACCCACAGTTTTGTTTACTGTGGATCTGAGGATCAAGACATTTTCCCTGAGAGGAGGCAGCGCGTACAAGCAGTTAGCTTAAGATAGGAATTAGAGTAGAAAAGTTCATTGTTTCTGTAATTTTAATTTGTGCAGGAAAAATGACTGTGTAGGCCTGGCTGACTTTTTGACTTGGCAATAAATAATTAGAAATGTGTCGGCTGATAGGAGCATTCATTTAACTATAGAAAAGCTGATGGTAGATTAGTAGGTTCAACCCTCTTAAGATAGAGAGGAAAGAATGTCTAGGATTTGGTAATGTGTGTCTTTCATACATTTTGCTTGCATAATTAATTTAATATGTTCTGTTTTTATGTACTTTTATGTCCTTGCAATCTCTCTTAAGATAAAAAGAATAATTTCATTTACTGATCTTTCTAAACGCAGAATAGTACATACTATTCCTGATGTGAAGGTCGTATTTGCAGGATTTATTATCTTTACTCGGCAAATCTTTGGGTATCAAGCCTAAACACATAAGATTTACATTTCCTGGAAAAGGTGAAACCTGCATCATGTTATTCCGCATTCTAAGAAAATGGGAGGAAACTTCATTCTCTGAAGATCAGGGTGTGTCTCTGAAGAGGCGCACTGTGGCACTGTTGGTGCCTGGTTGGATGGGCTTGAAGCAGCTCCTCAAAGTAGTGATCAGAGTGCCCTTAGTCGCGTGGGAGGGGAGGGGCAGCAAGTGGCCTGAGGGCTCTGAAACTGGAGGAAAAGGAGGTTTCTCTCCTCTCCTTGTGTCCTCTGGAAATCCTCTCTCTCCTCAAATGCTGAGGGAAGGCTGGGCGCTCTAAAGGTCCTGAAATGTGTTACCCTTGGCTCTGAGGGGATAAAATAGGATTAGAATCGGGGTGAGGTGTCCTCTGAAGGCGCTTCCCCATCCATACGCCCCAGCAGCCACTCACAGCACTGCCCCACCCCTGCTTGTAACTTGGAAAATCTCACTGGAGTGAAGCTGTAGCTTCTGCTCCTGCATTCGGCTGGTTGGTGTCGATCCCAGCACCTCAGACCTCAGCCTGGATTTCCTCATTTCAGCTTCCTCTTAAACTCATCCTCTCTGGGTTGTTGCTTTTTTTCTTCTTTTGATCCTCCTCTTTATTAAGACTCTGGAACCAGCAGATTCCTGGGGTAAGAACAGAAGAAAGAGTAGTTCAGTTGTGCCTTAATTTTCTTTCGGTGTTTCGGGAACCTCTGGTCTCTTTCAACTGGCTGAAACTAGGATATATTTGGGCTGCTTTGAGATCAGCTTGGTGATTTTTTCCCCTACCATTATTATGGTAGCTTTGCGTCACAAGGAGTAATATTAGGTCTTTCCCCAGAAAAGAAAACTTAGTTGATTAACCTGAAGTATGAAGAAAAGCTTTGGGTTTATATGTCGAATAAATGTCTTATATAACCATCTTGGAGGAGGCGTTCCTATTTATTGATCTCAGGTTGGAGAAGAGAGAACCTCTTTGAACTACTGCTGGGGAAGGATTTTAGTCAACCTTTTTCTATTAAAATAACTCTTTTAAAAAACCTTTTGACCCACTAATTGAACCCATTTTTTTAATTACGCAAAAGCTTTTTTTAAAAGTCCTAGATAATTTTCTCCAGTTTGGCCACTGGAACTTTGTTTCCACTGAAATAGTGGCCAAAACGCAATAGCTGATTCAAGCAGGAAATACAAAATTAGCTGGGCTAGTTGGTTTTATTTGCAATTCTGTGTTGCCTTCCATTGTTGTTTCTCTATTTCTGTTTTCCCAATAAACTTCTTTTTATATCTAAAAAAAAAAAAGGGCTGGGTTGGCTTTTTCACCCCAACGCAACAATACAATAATACAATTATTGCAGGCAAAGTGAAAGGCTTTTATTAAGGGAGGGTCAAGTCTTTTTATAGGGTACAGAAACAAATGATACATACATATGGTGTATGTGATAAGTCAGAAAGCAACTAATCAAACAATAAAAGGCACTGATTACACATGAGAATTGAACAATAGAAAACAGTGATTATGGATAACATTCCAGAAGTGGTAAATTTATGGGTTGTCACTCCCTTTCCCAGCTGGGTTTGTATCTTTCTTAAAACTTCTAAGCATCTAAGCTGGTGCTTTCGCAGAAAGCCCCGCTATTTCTTGGATGGACCATAGGACGGCCTCGTGCTGTTCCTGCTCCTGCTGGCCTCTGCACATCCGTTTTCTTTTTGTGCTCCGGGCAAGCTCCAAACAGGGAAAAGATGTCCCGGCTCTATAAAGCAGTGTTCACTCAGTTCAAGTGTCAGTTATGAGTTATTTTCAACTCTAGACAGGAAGATGCTTCAGAGGGAAAATAAGATGCTCTCAGTTCCCAACCCTCCCAATCCTTTAGATGGGTTACGGAGACCCGCCTTTTCCCCCAGCCCTGGATTAGGTGGAGAACTTGCCCCTAAGTGAAACTCTACTAATTCACTGGGTGCCTCTGGCCTCCTGGTTATAGCGATCTTCTATCCGTTGTATTCTATTGGGTTCAGTTTTTAACCTGTACGCCACCCACAGTTGTTACTGCCAGGGCGGCGGCTTTACAAATAAGGCAAGTAAATGCCCAAGCGGGCCTGCGACCAGCAGCCTTATCAGATGGGATGTGGGTCTCCCTTCCTCCGCCCTGATACTTATTTATCCGGCGTTGCATCCTCTCCTTTCTCGGGCTCGGCCGGGGGGAGCCGAGACATCCCGGCAAAGGCAGCGCGGGCTTCCC